AAAAAAAAAAAAAAAAAAAAAAAAAAAAAAAAAAAAAAAAAAAAACATATAAATCTAAGGATTATTACTACGGCAAACTGAAGTTTGAAGGAAACTGGAGGAGTCCCACAAAACTTCATGGAACATACAAAAAATAAAAAAATCAAGCGTTTTTAAAAGCTGTGACATTGATATTTCAGTATTTCAACACTGATGTTTTCAAATGGCTAAAGAATTCCTTTACATTATGGAACTAACAAGGTTCAGATGTAATGTTTCTCATTTTTAAGTTAATATATAGCCAGGAACATGAAATATTTATCCCAATGGGATACTGAAGTGCACTCCATTCCTGCTAGCCACCATATCCCTTTTTTTTAAAAATATGCAGTAGAAAAAAAAATCACAGCTACTATACAGCTAGTAATCACAGCTATTTGGTACAGTTAGCTGTAACCAAGCTACTTCAGAACTGCTTTGCTTTCAGAATCCACTAATTTCTACATTAAATAAATCCATTTTCTGTTATTGTTACTGTGAAAAAAGATCCATGGAAACAAATGGGACAAGTTCCTGACTTTCTATGTTGCAATATGCTTTTAGGATATAAAAGAATGCAGAGTTTATAATGCTGTTAAATTGACCATGCTTCCAAGATGGTGATTGTAAGTCTTTGTGTAACCCTTCTCGTTCCCAAAATCCCACACTGCCCCTTTGGAATGTCTAAGAGATACCTGGAAACTCACCTATTGGCTGTTAACCCTTTCTTGTAATCGGTTGGTTTGTAACACCTCCTGAATTCCCAATGGTCACACTGTGATCCCTCTGAAAGCTATTTAAGCTGTTGCCAGATCAATAAATCTCTCTCTGCCTGCATTCCCTCCTGCCTGATTGACGGCCCGGTGATCCCTCTGGGGGGCCATGAGGTGCCGCGGGGTGGCGGGACCAGGGGGAGGGCACTCTCCCCCTCAGAGCAAGGGGTAAAAGGAAAAGCCTCTTGCTCTGGGGTTCACCCTCCCCATCCACCTCAGTGTTCGTCATTTCTACACCAAGAAAACAATGAAAACTAAATACACAGAGCAACCAGACTAAGAGACGGTAAGCTTCTGAAAGAGTTATAAAACCATATTAAACCGCTTATGTTTCAGGTTTAGTTATTTGAGGGATTACATCTGTATCTGCCGTATGAGTAAATACTGCGTATCACACTGTTCACATCTATTGAAGCAGAAAGGACGAGACAATGTCTTAACTCCTCCAGTTATACCAACATAGTCAAAAGAGATGACCCAGCGTAGGGGAAGTGAAGGGAAGAGGCACTGCTAGTCATTTGCCCATAGGAAGCAACAAACCTTACGGAGCAGTAACCACAGCTGAGGCAATGCAGCAACAGCATGGATTATTAGCTCAGTGGAGAATGCCAAAGCACACAAAGCCTGCAGCGTGTAGGTTACACAAAAGGCTGGAAAACACAAGCATGTGCTACATGATTCTATCTACTGAAGCATACACTGTTTGTAGCAATACTAAATAAAATATGCACAAGATTTTGTATCCTTTAAACTGATATTTTATAGTCTCAAAATTACAGTCATTGAAGAGTCAATATTTATTAGCATTTCCACAATCTGAGCAGCACTATTAATAAAATCAGAGCAGATGGAAGCTGCTCTCATGTTGGGTTTTTTTTTCTGGGGCAGGAGAAGTACTAGGCAACAATGATTCCTCCACAGGAATTCATAGAAAAATTCTAAAGAAAAAATATTCTATTAGGAATTCTTTTTATTCACAAAAATACTTGCCTCTACAAATCCTTACAATATAAGGCAAAAGCAACTTAGTGCCATCTGCACTAGCATAATTTAATAAAGAAAAAAGCTGACTCTGAACATGTGTTACTTTTTCATAGAGCTTTGAACAGCAAACTGAACTTTGTTTTGTATAACTGTTAATACTTTTCATGTTCTTACATATGCTCTCTAGCTAAAAAAATGTTAACCCACCAGTAAGAGAGAAATGATATGATATGATGTACGCCTGGGCTTTAGATCAGCAAAACAGAAAGGAAAATAAGAAGCCCAACAGGCATTTTAAGCATTTTTTTCAAGCATCTTTCATCCAAGTTTTCTAAAAAAATGCTTATTTTTTCTAAGAACTAAAAAAAAAAAAATTCTCAAGCCAAAACACTTAATGATGCCCACTGAGATTTAAAACAGAATTATTTTCCTTTTCTAATATAATTCATTTGGGTCTTCAACAGATATTCAGAACTAAAAAAAATTGCCTTTGAAATAACATGAGAGAGGATGCAGAACAAAATTCAAGTGTTCTGAATGTGCTTATAACAAAATAGGAATAAATAAGAGGATTTCTATCTTAATATATTGTGCAGTTGGTCCAGAGAAAATAAAAATAATGTACTTACCACTGTATTACTGTTTTCTCCCTGCTGCTGCTTCTTCCCTGAGCTTTCAAAGTCAACATTCTGTTTAAGAGAAAGGTAAAACAATTTTACTCAACCCTATCACTACCAGATAAGAACAAAGTGATGTTATATTGTATTGGATATGTATTTTGCTTTCACAGTTTTGTTTTTGTTATAAAGAAAAGCTGTACATGTGAGTGAACAAAAACCTGGAATATTTCAGAGTATTTGAAAGACGTTCCAAGACAGTAAAACTGCATATATACTTTTGAAGGAGATAATTCTTTTTTGTACAAAACATTGTTTTTCATCCTACTGTTATTTTAAAGCACTCTGTCTATAAAGTTGTTTCATTTTCACTCCTTGTATAATTACTGTATTAAAATATTAAATATCACACAGATTTCTCTTGTACACAATTCTGAAGAAAACTAAAAAAAAATACATCAAAAATTAACCAAACACAAAAAGAGCATATTTTTGTATTATTAACTTCAGGAATTTTTTAGAAAGTTGCAACACATAAGGCATAACAGATCTCTGACACTAGCTTCACTGAAGTAGGACAACTACAAACAAACAGAAACATCTACTGCATTTGACTGAACACACCCAAAATTAGGGGCTGGACCTATGGAAAGGATAAATTTCGCCTCCAACAAAGACAGCAGCAGAACAATACCTTCAGAGGGATTAAATGTCACTGTGGTCAGAGAGATCATCTAACTGAGCACAAAGTCATGTAGAACAGCTAAGAAGCTAAGTCACACAGAGTACGATCTTTCAAATTTGCAGTACACAGAAAATAATTTTAACTGTGGGGATCACAGGCAGTAGCTTCATTCAAAGGGTTTACCTCTAAATGGAACTGTATTTCATGTCTTTCCAATAAGAGCAGAATCAGGCCACCACAATAAAGTCATCATAAATGTGTCTCCAAAATAATACTAATAAATTTAAAATCAAGATATTCCAGGAGAAATGAAAGTTACTTGTTTTGAGGTAATAAGCAAGCAATGGTGTGACCACAGGACAATGAACTCCCATAGAAGCCAGGACTGCCACAGTAGGATTGCGCTATAACCAACTTTCACATATTACATGTCCTATTTCTCATTTGGGAGTCACTGGTGTCAGCTTCTGCATTCATACAAATGGACTCTAATGCACTACACTGCATAAATCTATTCATTTATTCTCAATAGAAGGGCATCCAGGATGCGTAAATAGCAAGGTGAAAAAGTAATATAGGTAAAAGTAATATTAAAGCCTCCAGCCTTTTAAGTTCCCTACTGAAAAAAAAATTTCTCTATTAGTTTAGCCAGCCTCAGAAACAAAGAACAGCAGCACTCAAGACAATTAAAAAGGTCAAGAAAAACTGCAAGGATCAAACCAGATTCTGAAACTTGGGTTCTTAGGAGAGTCTGTCAAACTGTCATGGCTTCTTTCCTTTCCCATAGCACTTTGCTCCTACTTGCAACAGTATTTAACCCTTACAAAAGCTATTTCAGAGGCACCATACACAAACTCCCAAGAAGAAGTGCAAGTCTGCAATAGCTCTGCTAGGATAAGCAGAATTAATCCAGAGAATACAACAGTGCAGAGCTGTATCTGACAGAGGAGACAGTCAGACGATTGTGCCTCTGGCAGAAAAAGACCTAAGGTCAACATTTTGCAGGCAAGGCTTCAGAATAGAAAAAATATCAAAGAAGTAGCTAGAAACATAGTAATCAGAAGAAAAAAAAAAAATAAACCACAATGAACAAAAAGGGATTAGTCCTGCATCATTTCCTGACACCTGTTAGGCCATCTCTGTTGAAATGCCCAGAAGGATAAAATTCAGTGGCAGGGAATTATCACCATTTGAACTGTTTGCAAACTTCCAAACCAAGCAGGAGGAACTCATCCCATCTCACACATGCAGAGGCAGTAATACAGCAAGTTTGTGCACAGGGGGAAGAATACACACCACCATACTCAACAAAAGACATCAGTTACAAAATCAGACCTTAATGTCACTTGAAACTGTGATATTGAATCATAACCTCGAGCCTCATCAGAAGAGGACAACTAAGAATGTGCTGTAACTACAACTACAAGCAATGATCAGTCTCCAATGGCAGGAACCTTACAGGCTTACACATATTCCCATCACCAAGCAGTTTGCTGGAAAGCACAACAAACTCTCTAAAAAAATAGACCAGAATATTCAGAAGAGTCCAAAGCAACCTTGCATCAGAACTGCAGAAGTCTAGCAGATAGGGGGCTAATGTGTTTGTCTCAAACACCAATAGCAGGATAGCCGTGGAGCCAACTAAGGACTGTTGGTAAGAACAGCCAAGGACTGGGGGCAGTAACACGCTGTAAGGAAGAACAAGATGTGGCTGGAGAAGAGGGTCATTTGGAGGTAGGACAGTGCTTTTCTGGGACAAATCTCCTTGTTCTAGTTCCTGGAGGTAAGCACAAAACCATACAGCACAGGCACAGAAATGAGGTAGAGAACTGGGCATGGTCTGTAAGGGCGGGGGGGGGGGGAAATCAACACCACCGAAGACCCCCAAAGCCCTCTGACACATTTTCAGAAAGGTCTAGAAGAACACACTGTGCATGATAACTAATTAGCCTAG